AAACAGTATTGAACCTAATCCTGTACTACTGGCATCAGTCTCAACACGGAACGGTCGGGTGAAATCAGCGTATGCTAAAATCGGTGCTGTCGTGAGACACTCTATAAGAGTCTTGAACGCTGTCCGAGATTCAGTGCAGAAGATAATCGGGCCATCTTTCGGTCGTTTTTTCTTTCTCTTATTATCTGGGCTATGTTTCAAATGACGGAAGAGTGGCGCTGCGATCGATGCATATCCTTTAATGAACCTCCGAAAAAATCCGGTAAACCCTAGAAAGGCCCTAACATCTCTCACCGTCTTAGGCTCTGGCCAGTCTTGGACAATTCGTACTTTTTCCGGATCAACAGCAACACCTCTGTTTGACACCATATGCCCAAGGTACCGCACTTCTTGCTGCAAGAGATGGCACTTGCCAGGCTTGAGCTTTAGGCCATGCATCGTTAGCTTGCTAAAGACACGTTCAAGATTAGCTAGGTGCGTATCGAAATGTTTGGAGTACACAATGATGTCGTCAAGATAAATAAGGACATTCTCGAAGCACTGATCTCCCAGACATCTTTGCATTAGCCTTTGAAAGGTCGCTGGGGCATTTGAGAGACCGAATGGGAGAAATGTATTCAAACAGGCCAAACGGTACTGCAAACGCTGTCTTTTCTACGTCATCCGGATGCAACTTGGTAATAGCTACTCGTCAAGTCCAATACGCTAAAATACTGGGCCCCATCTAGTGCCTGGAGGGATTCCTCAATGCGAGGGAGGGGGAATGAATCCTTATGTGTAATTTTATTAAGTCGACGATAATCTACACATAAGCGAATGCTAGAATCCTTCTTTTGAACGACTACAACTGTGGACGACCAAGGGCTCTTACTTTCCCTTACAATATCTTTCTCCAGTAGGTCTCGAATGTGGTCTCTAACAGCTTGGTATTGGGACGGTGGTAGGGGTCTGTGTCGCTGTCTAATCGGTTTGTCTGTACCAGTGTCAATTCGGTGTGTGATGGTGTCGGTATACCCAAAATCCTGGTCATGGGTAGAGAAGACATCCTTATATCGTGTAAGCAGGCACTTCAATTGACCATGTTGCTTAGGAGTTAGAAGAGATGCATCTACATCAACTTGTATTGGTAGCGTACTTTCGACTGCCAATATATTTGCCACTTCAGCTGCAGGCCCAGTTACTAACCCCACCTCCTCCAAATCTCCATGGACAGTGGCACCATGGAAAAGAGTTCCTAAAGATGCAGTACTCGAAATTACTACTTCGTTGTCTGTTTCATTGTGTACGACAACTGGAAATCGACCTCCGTCGACTTTTACTAGGCATGGAGGTACAACAACTCCAGTTGGGACGCCCCCATCTTTATTTGGTTCTGGCATAGCCTCAAACGGTTCTCCCCCTGGTCCACAGCGACCACGTCCCTCAATTACAACAGCTTGGCGAGCTGAGATCACAACATTTTCCTCTTTCTCCATATACGCATTTCCTATCTTCCCATCATCCTTGCAAAAACACATTTTTTCATTTACTGCATGCAACGCTTTTTGCCATGCAGGCTCTGGTGTCGGCCATGCTATCTTGTGTAAGTGCTGTCGCTTCTCAGTACTGATGAGCCTTTCCCAGCATTGTTGGGGGACATTCATTCCCAAGATCCCGCCTACACTTGTCCTACGCCAATTCTGTAAGCTGGAACACTGTTCTCTGATCACTAAAACTACCCTGGATTTAATGGATTTTCCCAATGCCCAGACGTCAGTCTCAAAACATCCACGGTAGGGTATGGTTGCGCCACTAGCAGATACAAGAGAGAATGGTTTTGGGATTTCTTGTAATTTAAATCCAAATGGTTCCAGAAAACTGTAGAAAAACTGCTCTCCAATTGTGGTCACCTGGGACCCTGGGTCTAACAAGCAGGTCAATGGTATATCTCCAAATTTCACTTCAACCGAGAAACATTCACCTACGGTTTTTGAGATGAAGTCTACATTAATCTGGTCGGTCGATTGTCCCACTTCAAGATGCATAACTAAGTTTCCTTGAGCTGTTGGTTCTTTAGGTTCGTCATTTCTTTTTGGGTCGGGTTGTCTTGGTATTGGTTGGCTATATGTTTTTGCATTATAAGGGGCGGTGGTATGGCGGGGTCTTCTCGTGCCTTGTGCTCTACATTCCCTTGAAATGTGACCAGGCCTACGACAGTTATAGCATACCTGTACTCCTCTATATACAGTTCCCGGCACCTGTGACCTACATTCCTTTGAAAAGTGACCCGGAATGCCACAATTGTAACATGCACCCCTTCCCTGATACGGTGATGGACCCCACGATGGGTTCTCCATGGTTGGCGTCGGTCGAGTTACTTGCTTTACCGCCTCTACAACCTGAGTGGACATCTCCTTGAATGCAGCAAGCAGGTCCTGGTTATTGCTCTCTGTACATTCTGTCTCTTATACACATCTCAACACCTCTGTTTGACACCATATGCCCAAGGTACCGCACTTCTTGCTGCAAGAGATGGCACTTGCCAGGCTTGAGCTTTAGGCCATGC